CTTAGTACTGACTGACTGGCTGGCTGGATGTAGGTTTCTGCTTAATACGTCTCGCGAGATGTCGTTGCTTTACTACACAAGGGAACCGGGGGCGTCGTGGAGATTCGCTCGACCATAAGCGCCTACGAGGAGAAGTCGCCGCTGTATGGCTTCCTACAGTATCGCCGGAGAAAGATCATACTCAGATACGTGCCCGAAGGAATCTCGAGACTCATCCAAGGTACTTCATATCTGCTCTTTTCCCCTTCCTTTTGCATGAGCACGATGATGTTTTCTATCTTCGATCAACTGCATAATGGGACCTGTACAGCGCTGACTCTGCCTCTATAGCTCGGATTACTGTCCAGTTTCAGTCGATTCTCGACCGGTTCTCGCCTCATGATACTGTCTTTTCACTTACTACCCCATCTGAACTCACCGAAAATGCGCTCTCTTCCACCTGCATGCTGCACGCCGCATCTGGCTCCATGACTTCTTCGACCAGCTCGCTGCGACAACGACGACTTGGAGAAATCACCGAAGATGCCGAGGAGAACGGAGCAGACGAAGAGGAGCGCTCCAAGCGTGCTCCAACCTCATCCAGCCATAGCAGGGCAGGAAGTGTCTTCAGCGGGATGTCAGAAGCCACCGCAGTACCCAGCAGTATGTTGCGGGACGCAGCGTCGAAAGACCAGCCAAATGGTGGTGCCATGTTGACCCCAGACGCACTCGCATACAAACCATTACCCTTAGCCCCCACTTTGAACACTCCAACTCGCGCAAATGGCATTGCCCAGCAGCATCTCCTTGACCAGCTATCTCAGCCGCTTCCCGAGGCACGAACTTCCTCTCAGTCCGTCAGACCGTCTCTTCACGATCTGGATCAGATCAGCATACGGAGACCGAAAGTACGACTTGGTCCGCGGCCTTCGCTGGATGCAAACGGACGGCCCAAGACAGCAGGCTCCATGACTAGGTCCTATGAACCACGACCGGTTGCTTCGCTGCCTGCTGGAATGCGGTCAAGAAAGCAGTCTACATCACGACCCAAATCACAGCCAGACTATGAGCAGGGAGATGCCCAAGCTCAAGGGACGGCACCCCCTGTTCCTCCTTTACTAGTCCCGCCACCAGCGATTATTGGGGCCTTTTCAAGAAACGCGCCTTCATCTCCTAGATCAGTCAGAAGCTGTGCTACGACCATCGGAATGACGCCAGAGAAACAGCGTCTAATGCGGGCCCTAGAGCTACGCAAACAGCAAATGGCTCGACAGCCGCAGAAGGCGGAATCGAAGGCTGAATCGAAAACTCCAGAACAATTACCAGAGCCAAAGGGGCAAAGGAGCGTTGATGGGGAAGTCCCAAGCAGAATTTCTCCTAAGGGAGGATCGGCGTCGGTGGGCCCAACTATTGACAAGGATGCTGCTAATACACCACAAGCCAAACAGACAGCTGTCTCTGAGAACAGAAAAATTACAACATCGCCAGAATTGCACGAGATTGTTCAAACACCTTCTTCCGAGGCGTCGACGCCCGATTCAGCTGTTGAGCTGTCTCCTTCGCACCGTTCAATTGCTGCTGAGCAGAAGAAGGCCTACGCTTCTTCGCCTGCTGCTGCTGCTGCTCCCCTGGCCGAAAAGGAGGTGGACTTGGAGCCCACACCTCCTCAGACACCTCCTGAGGAATTGGAGCTCCTTAAACCAGTGGCATACTCTGCACCGAAGATGGCAGCTGTCACTCCAGCTCCTTCACCACAGGCAGACCACATGGTTGAACCTGTCGCTGAAGATCCCTCCAGCTCTTCCTCCATACTTCCATACCGCCCACAAGCTTCTCCTGAGACCTTCATGTCCTCCTCCGTCACGTCTCAATCGATCGAAAAATCATCGGTAGACACCAGCTCCTCGTCAACCCTACGAAATGTCTCGGATACAGAGTCTGACGCCCTTTCAAAACATACCGTATTCGCCAACTCCTCTCAGTCGAGTATCGCTGAAGAAATTCCAGATTCTATCGACGATAGTGCTCCTAAGCCCGAACAAGCTGTAGCCCCAACCAACGGGACGGCGGCGGCTCCAGCTGCCGATTCGGAATCTGATCTTGGCGGAGAGACTCCCACACCCCGAAGCACGACCGATGAACCTTCAGATATAAAGGTAGAGGAGGTGCCTGCCGCTGTTTCGTCGCCAGTTATTCAGATCGACGATAAAGAGGTCGCCGATAGCAAGCCTGAGGCTGCTGAGGAATCCAACACTGACAAGGATGCTGATACGACAGTAGCCAGTCAGAAGGAAAAGCGAATTGCAATGCTCGAGCCTATCCATATCCCATCTGGCGCCAGCAACGCTGACGAGGAAATTCTCCTTTCGGACGATTCTTTCATGGATGAGCTGGGTAGTGCAACCCTACAGGAGGCTCGGCCAATTGCCATTCCCCGTACGCCTACAAGCAGTAGCGGAAAGGGTTCATCCTCTGAACGTTGGAACGGTTCTCGCATGGTCTCTAATTCCTCCGCTCGATCAGATATTGAGGCCCTTCCGGTCGGCGTAGCTTCCTCCAGAGCTTTCTTCGAGTCGGAAAAGTCTGCTCCCGTCCTCGTTGCTAAGAAGGTAAATGTCTCCTCGGGCATTTCGAAACGTATCAAGGCCCTGGAAATGTTCTCCAGCCGCGAAGCTAGCCAGGTACCAGATAAAGCTTCAAACCGACCTGAACCACAAAAGACTGCTACACCCTCTGCCTTCGAAAAATTCAGAAAGCGCACTTCTATATCTCAGTCTCCAGGATCCCTCTCCCCTTCTCCCAGCAACCTGGCTCTACCACAAGCTGCTGAGGCCGCAGCGGGGAAGAACGGAGATTCCAAGTCAGTCAATCGACCCAAGTCGAAATCCGTGTCTGTAACTGCCAGGATTGTTCGTGGTACATCAGGCACTCCGTCCGAAAATCAGTCAGATTCAGAGCCAGCCTTACATCGAAGCGAGATCACAGTCGACCAAAATGGTGACAAGTCCGCCCAGCCTTCGAACCTGAGTATCAGAAGCCCCGAAAAACGCCATTCGATCTGTTCGAGTACAGGTTCCAAACGAAACTCCTTCACCGGATCAAGGCCCGCTCCGCTCGACAACAAAGCCCACATCACTCGACCGATGCTCGACTCTGCTTCCTCAAGCGACACCGCACACTGCAACGCTGACAGCACAGATGAGACAAAGGAAGACAAAAAGGGTTCCCGCAAGTCACGAATCATTCGCCGCATGTCCTCCATTACCACAAACTCCCTACGAAAATCAACAGCTAAAGACTCAAAGGGCTCAGCTGCTCCCCAAACACCAATAATACAAGAATCTCCAACCCTGGACAGTGCACCAGTCCATGTTGTTGATGTTGGCGAAGTCAATGTTCAATTCCCTGATACCCTGCTGTGGAAGCGGAGATTTATGCGAGTTGATGAAGGCGGGTATCTGATTCTCACTCCCGGAACAATCGATGGAAACCCTCGAAACACGGTGAAGCGCTACCACCTTTCTGAATTCCGAAGACCGTACGTGCCCGATCATGATAGACAGGAGCTACCTAATAGCATCCTCCTTGATTTCTGTGATGGGAATACACTCCAATGCGCCTGTGAATCAAAGCAAGGTCAGAGTATAACTCTCCAAAGTAAGTCAACTCGCTCCCTCAATCTCTCTTAACCTGACCAACACGGTGACTAACTAGATCCAACAGCCTTGATCGATGCTCATCATGCTTATACCCAATAATCGCCTTCAAAAGACCTGCGTCGCCTTCCTTTCCTTAATACCCCTTGCAAAATTGCGTTTGTTCCGCATATTCCTTTCGCTGCACTTCTTTTTTTTCCTTTTCTTTCCTTATTTACTGCCTTTCTTCCCTGATCTAAAGTACACCCCGCAGGTGATTAATTCAGATAATTTGAGACCCTCCTATTTCATGAGTTCTATGATATTATGATATCCTGTTCTGGTGGCTCCACAACAACCCAACTCATACCCCGTTGACCGTCGTTGATACTCTTTCTTTCCTTCTTCTCTCCCCGGCCTCCTAGTGCGTCTGCATACACCTTTGGCTTATCATCCCAAACCCTCAGGAAACAAAACACCGTTGACCAAGATGAGACGCTTTTGGAAGAACCTCAGGTTAACCGAACATTCCTCCAGGATTCAAACCTCCTCCGTGCTATATCTCCTTCATTTACCCTGTATTTCTACATTAATTTTCTCCACACACTCATTTATTCCCCCACTTTTTCCCCATCAATCTACTTCTCTCATTTACTATTCTCAATCTCCTAATTGATTCTCCTTGAACTTGTGTGCCTTTTCCCCCCAATTCTGATCCACCGGACAAAAAACAAAAAACAAATAATCAGGGTCGTCATTCTATCGAATCCTCTCTCTGCGCTCTTCTTTAATCTGTGCCCTGGCTTCATTTATCTCTTTCTCATCCCCACTTCCTCCCACTCGCTTTTCTTCTTACTTATTATACCAGTCCTTGTGTGTGTTTTGTTCTTGCTATCTGGCGTCCGTCTTTACTTGATTCTCGTGGCTGGGATCAAACCCCATATACCATCTACTTTCCTCTGTTGATCTCTTTCTGCTCTCCCACTTGTGCTTTTTTTTTTTCTGAGGGTGTTTTGTTCTGGGTTGGCGATTCAGTTTCTTTTGATCGTGTTTCTCCTGTTTACTCCCTTCGAATATAGACAGACATGCATTACCGTTCAAGATTCTACTTGCAATTCAATTTGCCATGTTGCATATCATATATCCACCGTGCTTGTTTAATTATATGTCTAATTACATATATAGAGCCATGTAAGGTAGTTATATACAGACGGAAACTTAATTTTCTGCTTCCTGCTTAGCATCTGCTGCGACAGACTTATCTTCAGCCCGTTCCTCTTGCTGGACTCCTTTATTCTTCCATTCATCCAAGAACCGTTGGAGTTTAGGTGCCCATACACTTTCGCCGGCTTCCATATCTGAATACTCGAGCGTCTTTTCAGGAGATAGTTCAAAGTCGCCTTGTCGTGTCCTTATTAGCTCGCTCATGATAGCATTGCTTCCAAGAGCAAGCCCCAAATCATGGGATAGAGACCGGACGTAAAACCCCGAGGACACGGTCATCGTCAGCTTCACAGCTGGTGGTTTTGGGGATGGCTCCGCCTCCGCTGCGGGTGTGGTTGAAGCAGGTAACTCTTTGTCTTCGGTAGTGGTAGTTTGTTCCCCTTGACTTTCGGAGTCCAGCTTCTGTCTTTTTGCTGGGATACTTGTCTCCGCTGCCGTTGTATCTTCCCGTGTATCAACGTTTGCTGTATCCGGCGGAGGCGGAGTTTTCCTTTTCTGGCTTGTTCCATCCTGCCCTGATGTGTCACCAACAAGGGAATCACTCGTAGTTTTGGTTGTAGTTCCGGCTTCCATAGCGGTTGAGTCCTTTGCTAGCATTTTCTTCGCAATATCTTTCTCTGGGCCTTCAGCTTCTTCCGTAGGCCACACATACTTATGCGAACCTCCATCATACCACTCCACAATTTCGAGATTCGAAACTTCAACAGGTCTTTCTAATATTTCGGCAGGCGGCTCTTTTCCTTCTCTTGCATATTCATATAGTTTCTTTCCATTAACCTTCAATGCCGAAAAGATAGATGGCCGTTGCATAATCTTGCCGCGGAATTTCTTCAATGCCTCTTCAACCTTCTCCCTTGTAACGTGCTCATACGGTGCCCTGCTAACCACCTTCCCGACTCTATCATAGCTGTCCGTTGCTACACCGAACAGAACGACAGCTTCGTATGTCTTCGTGCATGCAAGAAAGTTATTGAGCTGCTTGGTGCCTTTTCCAACGGCTGTTATCAAGACTCCTGTCGCAATTGGATCGAGAGTTCCGCCGTGACCAAGCTTGACATCTATATACTTCGACTTCTTTCCTCGACGCCGGTTATTCCAAGAGGGTTCTTCTTTTAATCGCTGACGCTCAGCTGCTAGCCACGGCTTGAAGAATTCGGATCTATTGAACTGCCTCTGGAGGTCGCGCAGGACTTGCGCGGAGGTAATATCTGCCGGCTTATGAACAGCTGCACATATATAGTATTAGTGAATATTTCTGGGTACGCAAAGGGTCAATTTTCATAAGCATTGACTGACCAAAAACGCCGTCCATAGTCCTGGCAGCGTCAGACATTGCGGATTGAAGCTTCAGATTCAGGCGGCGAAAGCTCATCGAGGAACAGATTTTTCACGGGCAATACTGTAGCACCTCGTAATTCTCCAAAAATAGTTCTGATATAAAGTAGATATTCTGTGTACTTGGTGCCTCAATGGCAGGTTTGAAAGTTGAAAGTTGCGACTTTTTTGAAGCTTTGGAAGATCAAACAATCCAGAAGGTTAACTGTGTACTATACATACCGTATTTATCAGAAAGATCTACGTAAATCAGATAAATTACGGTAGTTACGTTGACACAACCTTATTTATCAGAGCCGCCGATGCGACTCTCTGTGCTTTCAACATTTGACAAACATCCAAAGCATCTTGAGCTTTGCGTTAACACTGTTCGCCATCATGGTGGTTTCGAAGACATGACAGCACGCATAGAAAAGGTCCTAGCCTCCAAGGATCCCGCCTTGACGGATGAAAATGACTGGGAGGAGTTTACCTTGAAGGATGTCAAGGTCTACATTCCTGGCAAGACGCGGTATGCGAACATCCTCTCTGCATCAGAAGACAACCCTTTGACGGTCACCGGGCAGCTGGAGGAAGTCGATGAAGGTCAAGAATCTCTCGGTAAGAAGAATGCGAACTCTTATCTCCCCGCCGTCGGTTCCGGAATTTACAATTCATACACCCCTCTCCGTTAAATAGAGCTTCCACGCTGACAATTTGCTCTATTACTCATTGCAGTTCTCGACGGCGATTATCTTCAAAAGCGCGTGGTCATCCAAAATGTGACGCATTATGCATATGGACAAGATGGTGATGGCGGAGTTGGAATTTGGGCAGCTGGCGATGCGGGGTGGTTTTCTATTTCTCCTGCAAAGGGCTACAAGCCTATGTTCAACGAAGTTGTCGAAGCTGTTGATCTGCTATACTTCCTAGTTGACCAGCACCAGCCTAAGAAGCGGAAGAGGAAGAATCGGAAGCTGACCTGGGAACTTCTGCTGGATGAGGTCCGTCGCCTACCGTTACCCCGGCCAAGCATATCGACATACTGATGGATGAAATTGATTGTAGTACACACGACATACACATGGTGCCTGTGAGGATGCTGAAGAATCGTTGGAGGTCTTTCACAAACACCATGAATTTCTAATAAGACAAATGGTTCAAGGGAGGGAAGACATTGACTGGCCTAGCACTTTGGTCTATTCTCATCTGCGTGAAGAGTTTCCGGTACCGAAGTCCTACCCTGATATCTTCTCTATAACAACATCTGACATTGCCTCAGGATCTGTTTAACGATAATGACTCGGAAGAAGACTCGAAATCAGACGTGGTGATGGGAAACTCATTTTTCGAAGATATCACTAAACCCGAAAAATCGCAGGCCAATGCCATTTTCGAAATTATCCTAGATATGAAAGATGCGGGTCTTTTAGCCCAGCGGAAATTACACTTGAAGAGTGTGGCCGAGGAATTGCTGGAGAAATATGAGATGAGCTCTTTGGAGGATGCAATCAATCTAGTAAATTCACGGGCAGGAAGTGTGATAAAACTTATGGACGAAGCACAGGGAACATCCTCAGACTGGAATCGAAGGGCAATATATCGGCAATTGCAAGAGGCCACGGAACTTTCAGATATCCCGCCAGTTGGCGCAACGCCTCTCCAACGCCGACAGAATATAGACGCATCTGAATCGGGCTCAGAACCCGAAGAGGAAGATGAGGATGAGGATGAGGATGAGGAAGAAGTTCCAGTAAAGAAGAATCGAAAGCGGAGGAACCGAAAATCAATTCTTCGGCCAAAGACGTCTGAAAAAGCTGGTAAACGAAATCGAGACTATGCCTCCGTGGACTCCGAAGATGATATGGAGGATATCCTTGTTGCAGAAGACACGCCAACAAAAGGAGGAGCACAGTTGATTCATGAATCTTCACCACCTGCGGAAAATGGAGACCATCCCTATTTTAACGGGGAGGTCGATCAGGGTGACAGTGCAACCACGAACGGACATATCCCACCAGATACATGGGTTTGTCCTGTTGCCGGATGTGGGAAACAAATACCAAAAGCTACGTTGAAGAGGTCGAAGGGAGCAATTGATGACCATAGCCTCGTTCATGCCGATGACACTCAATCAAAACTTGACTTAGTATTTGCGGAGCAACGCCTGAACGTGAATGCCTCCGTGAATAATCTGTTAAGCCGCATCCGTGGTCTAGGCGGTCCTGCGCTTCAGGATATTATAGGAGACTCTACTGATCCGACGCCTACGAATATAAACATATGAAAGACCATATACCGCAAATACTCGTACTCTCCCCGAGAAAATCCCCATCGATTCGCTTCGACAGATCAATGCGTATTGCTTGCCTAGGCCCTTGCATCACAAGATGCACTGCGTCATGAACTCGGGTCCGGACCAGCTACCCTAAAGTGGCTTCTATCCGCCCAAACCAACCTCCAATATATAAATGTGTCCCCTGCTTCTGAGTATTTACAGAACGCAACAGACGCATTTCGGGGCCTGCATCCTGTATACAGCAGGCATCCTGGACTTCTGAAGTTGTCGTCACGGAACTAAGAGCCTGGTATATACATACTTGTTTACCCCCTCAGGGGGCAGGGGTTGCATATGATATGTTGTTTGCTGTTTATTTTATATGCAGTACAGGACCCCAGAAAAAGATCAAGCTTGTGCCGTGAGAAAAGCTTCTAATTATTTTTACTCCTTAACCAGAACTAATGTAAACAAAGAGTAACTCGACGCTACCAAAGACCCAAACTTTTGCCAGCCAAGGAAGATGTGTCCGACTGTACAATAATATAGAGCAAGTTGCAGTATCAAGCCATGGATTTGGATACTATATCTTTCCTATCGTCTTGCCTGGCGTCTACCTTTGCCTAACCTCTTTGCTGCCCCTGTTTTCTTCCCCTTCATTTTGCTAGTAGAGAACGAGCTCAGGTCACCACTAGATATGGCATCACCACTCTTCGCAAAGCGCTTTTTACCACCGAAGCCAAACTTGGCATCCTTTTTCTGTCTCTTGGAGCGAGATCCCTCTCCATCCTTACCTCGACCTCCGCGGCGTGGTTCAGATTTGCTCGACTCTTCAAGCGCAACATCAAATAGTTCGCTCTCCTCTGTCTCACCGTTACCCGCACCTCTGCGTTCTGTAGCGCAAACATATCATATTAGCATTTACATCCACTGAATAAAGCAAATGATGAAGTAGGAGGGGACGATGAAACATACTTCTTTTCAGGTCATTAATCTTTTCCAGAGTTTCCCTCTTCTCCTTATGTCGCTCTTGTATCTTGGCGATTTGCACCTGTTTTCCAAACTTCTTCAGGTCTCTCTGCTTTTTCGCGTCGGCGCTGGCCTTCTTGCTGGCGGCTTCTTCGTACAATTTCTTCTTGATCTTGTCCATATGCTCATCGTCCTTCACCATCTCAGCAAAGTAGTCTGTGGGCCTTGAAAACGGTATTCCTTCTTTTTTCAATAGCGCTCTTCCTGTTTTCGCTGCTGCGGCACAGACTTTATAAAATGCGAGTTCCCGGTTAAGGTCATCATTTGCGTCTGGGACGTCCATTGTTTCTGTGGAGATGAGGGACTGGTGTTCGGAGAATGGCATCTGGTCGTTTATTTGGGTTACTCGCTTCAGCGAGGATAGAATGGCAGTGGAGTTGTTAATGGTTAGCCGCTGGTGGGGGATAACATCTGTCGCTTCGTCGCCAGAGAGGTCTGAGAGTGGGATATCTTCTTCATCATCCTCCTCCTCCTCGTCTTCGTCTTCGTTTTCTGCGTCATCTTCCTCTTCCTCGTCCTCGTCCTCGTCCTCTTCCTCTGCTTCTTCTTCCTCCTCTACTTCTTCGTCATCATCCCTCTTATTGGGTTTCTTCCCGTCTCGTTGGCTCTTTGCACTCTTTTTGGTATCTGATTTTTCCTTTCCGTTGGTAAGGGTAACACCATTCTGCATGAACATTACCTATTAGCGGTTGCTCCATATTCTTCAAATAACAAATTGCCAATCATCTTACCAATCGTTCAGCATCTTCCTCCTCTTCCTCCTCACCCTCTGTGTTTTTCAATTGCTTTTCTTTCCTCTTGTTTGCTGCCTTTTGTAGCTTTTTCTGATGCTCTAGATCGAAATTGCGCCCCTTATGCGCGTCCAAAGCAGAAAGAAGCTTGCTTTTCTTCGCCATGATTAATTGTCAATTATTATTGATGGTGTTATGAAGAAAATCAACACCCTTCAAGGAAGAATAGGAAAAAGAAAAGCGTTCCTGGTGCGTTAAAGCGAATTTGCTATCTTCAAATCTTTTGCTTTTGCTTAGAAAATTTTGGATATTGAGCTAGATCAAAACAAGTTAGTTTGTATTAATAAGCAGAGCTAATCTTATCTTATCTGATTCCACTTCGAGGTTCCGCCCGCTTGGACGTTTGCAAGCCAACGATAAACACATCAACCTTGGTCAGACAGGCACAAGCCGGCCATATCGCCTTATCATCCCCCCCTTTTCTACTATATCAGCATCCCTATACCTGGCGGGGCCTAGTAGTGACTTAGACTATTCCTTGGAACCTTACGGAAGCAGAAAACATGAGTGCTTCAAACAGAAACTCATACGTCGCATCCCCCAACGGCGACCAGCAGTCTTCACAAGGAGTAAGTTATAGACTGATCTAGTATCACGACTCTGTACCGTATTATGAATGGCCTGCTAATCGGTAATTTTTCTCTTGACAGGCGACGGACGAGAGCGGTGCCCAACAACTCGTGACTGCCGTTGACGAGCTGTTAGATCAGCTACAAAATCGCTTTGAGAATGTCTCTACGGAGATACTAGGGAAATGTGAGAGATTTCCCCTTTCATATAACCAGCCATACTTAACGTGCGCTGTCGTTTGAACTTTTTTGACCAAATATCTGATGTGATGGGTACCTTTAGTGGATGATATGTCACGGCGGATTGACGAGCTTGAGAATTCGATTGCTTCCGCTCGAGATTCTACCCAGTCGGCTTGATGCTTTTGTGTTATTACTGTTATAAAGTAATAATGCGATAGCTGCCAGGTGGTAATAGAAATCCCGAGTGGGTCATGATAAAGAAACCAGTGAAAGAGGATCGCTCAGAACGATGAACCCGTTAGATTTTCAGACGCAGTGCAAGTTTGGAGCAAGCCAAGTTACGGTTTACGCCTTTTATGAAATGGTGGATTACTTGAAGTTATTATTTAGCTAGTTAGATACCCCACTGAATGTCCATTTCTGTTCAAGATCAAAGACACAACATAATATTTTGTTAAAGTCATCGCTAGATATATGGAAATAGCGTCTAATCATATAGGCAATTTTTCATAGCTATAGAACAGCATAAAAACGACCAGTCCTTTTGTTCCGAATTTCGACATAAGCCTTACCCTGCAGGTATCAAGAAACGTTGAAATCATATTGTTTTGAACACCAATTACAACTCGTCCTTGGCCTCCTCCTTACGCAAGAATCGACGGAGGACGTTGCTTCGAGAAACCAAATCATCGATCTTCTCGGGAGTGAGGTTTCCCTTGTTCAGGATGCGCTGCAGACGAGCAAGCTCCTTCTGAGCATATTCAGAGTTCTCCTGCAGCTTCTTTCCAGCCTTGACGTAGTATTCGGCATATTTGGCCGAGAGGCTTCCAGCAGCTTCCTTGATCTCCTTAACCATGGGCTCAAAGCTGGCTCCGGAGATGTACTTGGCAATTATGGCATCAAGAACTTCAATTGTGCCAGCTTTATCGTTCAAGCCGCCTCCAACTTCACGGTGAGTTCCACACTTCTCGTTCAAGAAGTCAACGAAGTCCTTCTCAGTGCGTCCACCGGTGTAGGGAACGGCCTCCTTGGAGCCACGGGGGAAAAACTTGATGGTTGGGTAAGAAGCAACGCCGTTGGCCTTGGCCGTAGCTTTGGAGTTTTCAGCTTCAGCATCAACCTTTGCAATGACAACATTAGGCTCTAGGATGAAATCGGTGGCCAAGGTCTCCCAGATTGGAGCAAGGGTCTTGCAATCTGTTTCGGTAGCATGTTAGCATCAATGCAGTTGAACTTCGTATCCAGGGGCTAGGGAAGGCCACATACGTCCGCACCAAGGGGCAGTGAAAGCAACAAAAACATCCTTATCACCACCAATGGTCTTATCGAAAGTAGAGTCTGTCAACATCTGAATCTCGCTGGGCTGAGCCTTCTTCGTCTTAGGCTTGAGACCAGTCTTGCTTGCAACGAACTCGCTCAAGCTCTCCAGATCCCTTCCACCGGAATAGTCCTCTGGCTTATCACTCTTGCCATCAAACCACTTGAGCGTGGGGAAGCCCTGTACGCCAAATCGCTTGCCTAGAGGTCGGTGGGCATCAGCGTCGACCTTCGCGATGTAGACCTTCTCGCCGCTAGACTCGAATGCATGGCCGAGCTCTTCATAGACGGGGGCAAGGTTCTTGCAGTGCCCGCACCATGGAGCAAAGAACTCGACGAGGCCTGGCTTGCCAGACTTCAAGACAACGCTATCAAAGTTGTCGGGAGTAAGGTCCAAGACGGCGGACTTGGATGCGAGAACGCCATTGAAGACAGAGAGGGAGGCGAGGAGGAGGTAGCTTAGGCGAGTCATTGTGTCCGTAGTCCAGGTGGTTGGTGCAAGAAGATATGTAAATAACTACAGAGTAGTTAAGTGGGAGAAACGCTTTCTGTTGATGGTCGGTGCTGACGCCAGCTTAAGTTGCTTGATGCCACGCTTGCTAACTAACGAGTGGGCCCGCTGCCGAGGTTGTCGACCATCTAACCACAACGGGTAAAGCTCCCCTTCTTTTGGGGCTGTGTTTTCTACCTGTGTCCCCGTCACCATTTACTGCTCTTTTCCTCCTTTACCCCTAATATAAAGGTCCTCTAGGAACACCCTAACGGCCAGTGCGACGTTTTCGCACCGTCGGTATAAAAGTCTGGGTTGTTTATATATATGTTTTGTTCGGCCTATGGAAGTTCTCGAATTTAACGGCTTTCTAATTGGTCCACTGTTGGACAGCAAAGCTTGGCTAACCTTGGCTGACGTGACCAAGATAAATTTATGCTTAAAATAAGCTTTGCTTAGTAACACAGGCTTGATATCGCTCAGCAATCACCCGAGAGCTCTATGCAGACATCATCATCATCACCGTAGGATATTATGGGCAGAAAGGGCGCTACACACCCATGGTCATGGCGTTCAAGTGAACAAAGCGAAGCATCGTTATGAACAGTCAGTGAGCCCAGGTTTAAAGTTGGGGCTCTATCATGATTACCCCCCGTACCCACTGGATTTCTTGCGCAAAAATATCTGGTCGAACGAGATGAAGGTTATGGCCACAGTCAGGAACATGCCTGAGCCGACTCCTTGATGACAGTTGAAGCTGTTCTTCCTTTAACAAGCGGTCAATATCATCCCACCTATCCAAGAGTTCTCGAAATCCTCTTTGCTGCGCTTCCGTGCCATTTCCCGCCGCGACGCCTGCCTCATAGATCCGTTCGTAGTCCCTTGCACTATTGCAGCGGATTACACTTAACGGTTTGGCACCCAGAGCACATTTTTTATATTGCTCCTTCTGTCTGAGAGTCTCACATACTTCTGTAGACGCGGCTGCTTCAGCTTGAGTGGCTACCCCACCCCTAGAGATATCTGCGGCCCGCATTCTCCATTCATCACGAGAGAGAACCGAGTCGTCCCTTAGCCCCGTAACCTGCGAGTACTTGAGAGATCCCAGCACCGCCTCGATGTTCGGGTCTGGTATCTTGAAGTAATGGCAGGTTCTCTCTGTGGCAGCGTCCGCGAGAACCATACCTGCCACATCGCTTGGATATAGGTGGAGGTACTCGCGCGCAATTATTCCGCCGTAGGAGTGACCAACAAGTATAAATGGTGGGTGAATGCCTGCCCGGTTAAGCAGTGTGTGTAATTCAGTGGCAGCCACGGTGGCCGTGTGCCTCTGGGGCCCGTCTTCGCTGCGACCCAGGCCAGACCGGTCAAACAAGGCAATTCCGCAAAAGGGTGCAACTAGTCTCTCGACCGCGACATATGAGGAGGAGACATCCCCAGCCCCGGCTATTACGACGGCAATAGGACCCCTGACAGACCGTGGGGGTCCACTTATGGATATGAAGAGGCGATGCGTGCCAACAGAGACCATGGATGCAGTAGCCATTATTATTTTCTAGAATCAGAATCTAGACAGGCGACAACCAGGACTCTTAGCCGTGAGGACTCCCAAGCCGAATAGCCCATCAAGTCGTACGAGTAAATTGCCCAGACAACGGCGCTCATGACAGCTGACACATGGTATGCAAGGGCTCGATACCCAGCCAGGGCCACATTGGTCATCAGAGGCGACGATTCTCGTGCGAAACCTCTAGTTTGATGGTGAATTCGACGCGGTAGCTTATATACATATCTCCGCCATTATCCTTACTCCGTCCTCAGGGGCACATCGGGCCAGGGTCAGAGGGTGAACGGCCCCTCGCCGTCGTGAGAAGAAGCTCATAACGACCAGGTTAAGACGGGCGAAGAATGCTTGACAGCCAGGACGAGGCCGAACTAACGCCGTCAACTTTGTCGCTTTTTTCGTCGGCGGTTTCAGAGTGTTTGTTTACTAGTAGGATGACTAATACTCCCGCTTAACACTTGGCTCTTGGCG